CCCGTCCCCTTCTGTTAGTCACGGCCTGGACAGTCCTCATGGCACGTATCTGTTTACGTATTGGATATTACGTCATCGACTCCTAGGATAGGTCTCCTGTAGTAGTCGCTTCAACTCAGATGGTTGTAGCGGACTTAAGGAGCCCACTTCCTGCGACTCGCCACGCCTTCTGGTGTAGACCTTGAAGATCTTGGGTCTTGGGGGGCCTTTCCACAATTAATACAATAAACCTTGTTTTTTGTTCAGCGTAGGTGTATTGGATAAAGCATGAACCAAATCGCGTCATACGTGCCTTGCACAATGTGAGGCACAATCATTTGAGAAAGCAGCCCGTCTAAGGGTTCAAATCAGCCTGGTTAGCTCAATCGGTAGAGCATTTGACTCTTAAACATCATAAGGTCAATCAAAAGGTTGCGGGTTCGAGCCCCGCATCGGGCTGGTTCGCCTGGTTAGCTCAATCGGTAGAGCATTTGACTCTTAATTACAATAAGGTCAATCAAAAGGTTGCGGGTTCGAGCCCCGCATCGGGCTTCCTTTTTGCATTCTGAAGCAAGTCTCGTGTTTTACTACATTTTTTCATTGTGAAGACAAGCGCTTAAGTCTCACTCTCACAATTAAATGAAAAGAGGAGAGGAACCGACTGTCCAATGCCATCTTTGCACACAAAGTTCTTCACAGCGAAGACACCATAGATCCTTCATCAGCCATCTCTCCTACAGATGAGAAACATCAGAATACAGGTCGAACGGGGCAAGCTTCCCAAGCCCATGAGTTCATTGTGTTGGAAACGGTCGACAATTCGTTGCACAGATCAATATATTTCAATAGGATCGTGGTCGCGAAATTCGAGCTATAATTTCTGGGGAAAAGAAGGCTTCTTGGGCTCTTTTCAAGCATCTGAGTTCAAGCGACTACCATCGTAAACTTGTTCAGAAATGACGTGAAATTACATACCATAAGTGTGCCAATATGACCGTCCAGGCCGAGTCCCGACACTTGTACTTGGGGGTTGACGGATTTGCCAAGAGAGCAGGATGAGTTTTGGACATGGAACAATTTAACAGCTGGCGATGCAGGTCGTGACCCATCCAGATAGCCCATCAGAACCAGCCAGAATGCAAAACACAATCAATGAGAAATCCTTCTGAACTTAGACAAGAGTTCAGGTGCATTTTTTTTAAACCATCAATAACAGGCTTCGGCAGAGATGTTAGTGAAGTACTATCGGGTTATAGCCACGTATGCAAGATCGAAAATCCAAAACCCTCCTTTTCAATAGATTCATGTAATTAGCAACAGAATTCTAAAAGAAACTTAAGAAACCTTCAATTAGCTCCCATATACGCACCAAGTGTTAAAACTGTATCTTCTTCCATTAATCACGGCCTGTTTGGTTCTGTGAACACAAACATGGTAACTTATTTGGGCCTAAAATTTCTAGGATAAGTCTTCTGTAGAATTCTCTTCAACTCAGATGGTTGGAGCGGACTTCAGGAGCTCGCTTTCACCCCTGCTTTTGAGTGTATGCCTTGAAAAACGAAATAGCCCTGGAATAGACGAACAACATTTAATATGTGACTAAGAATTCTTTGAATGTCATCAATCCAAACTTCTGGGAGAATTGTGAACAGAGAGTAGCAGTCCGACGCATGTCGTCGATCCCGTTCTTGACCCATCAGGGCCAACAAAATCCAAAAGCCCGGAATTCACATAACCTTTCTCAATTTCAAATCAACTCAAGAAAGTATTTATAAAATACTATTGATTTAAGCTCTGAGGAGTTGTAGCACTCTGGTACTTAACGATGCAGGTCACCACCAAGCCAATTAAATATCCAAGGCAACAAATACATGAGCCGCAGAATTGATGAGGAGTGTTTTGATGATGGGGCAATAAAGTAGGGCTGATCCTTAAGTTGAGCCTGGGAAGCACAGTGGTTATAGTCTGATAGCTCGCGATACGGGAGATTTAAACCCATCAAAGCAGCCCGAATGGAAATGCCCGGACCGAGTATTTTTTGAGATATAAAATTAGTATAAAGGTAAGGGCATATTCATGAGCATCAGTTTGAAGGTCCGGGAGATACGTTAGTGGAGTATGGGGCCCGTGATGCCGGTCGTCATCCATGCAAAGTCCTGCAAAGCCTATCAGAGTGAGAATGCAAACACCCGGAGTAAACGAATGTTTTTAAACTATCACTCAAGGACTCCTCAAATACCCATAAAAGTGATTTTAGATAGTATCAGCAGGTGCTTCTGACGCAGGTCGTCATGCCCATCCATGCCCAGTCCTCCGACACCTTTTTTGGTAGATTCCTCTCCCAAAGAAACAAAGATAGATTTGAGTGCAAGAGAGTATAAAAATGATTTGTGAAATAGCGATTGTTATGACAACCTCTCAATTGCCAATGCTACTGACTTTAGAAGTAGTAGCGGCGATGTCGTAAGGCCAGCCATGGCCAATCCTCCAGAACCTTCTTTTGACAGATTCGCAATTAAAATCAAAATGAAGAAGCCCAAAGTAAAAGATTGCTCTCGAAACCATGGCCCAGTGTCTTTTCAATACCCGTACTACTGATTTTAAATAATAGTAGCAGGCGGGCCTCTGATGCCGGTCCGCGAGCCCAGCCACGCCCAGTCTTCCAACACGTTTTTTTACACTCCTCTTTTGAAGGAACAAAATTGAACTAGAATGCAAGAAGCCAGAGTCGAAGGATACACTCTGAAACCACGACAAAATGTCCCTACAAATACCCGTACTTTTGATTTCGAATAGTAGTAGCAGATGGGCTCTGATGCAGGTCGTCGAGCCCAGCGATGCCCAGTCATCCAACATCGTTTCCGGTAGATTCGTCATCAAAGCCACAGCAAAAAAGGCGGAGAATAACCTCCTCTGAAACCCGACCCGGTGTCCTCCTATACTGCTGATTTCTAATGGTTGCAGTCGGGACTCTGATGCAGGAGCCAAGCCCAGCCAGCCCAGTCCTCCAACACCATATTTTTTACGCTCCTCTTTTGAAGGAATAAATTTAAACTAGACTGCAAGAGACCAGGGTAAAGGGATACTGTCTGAAACCAGATTTCAGTACGACTTGGCATGGAAGCAAATCCTTTCTGTGAGGTTTTAAATGATTTTATTTCAAGCCATAAACCCCATCTCTGGTTTCTATCCAGGGTCATACCTGTTGGAAAAAAAAGAAAACTTCTTCCAGGGCCCACGCCGACGTCTCCACATTCAGTCACGATACCGGTGTCCTCCAAACATCCATACTGCTAATTTCCAACAGCACCGGGCCGGGTGCAGGAGCCCAGCTCCGGCAATGAGTCCTACATCACAATTTTTGGTAGATTCGCCATCAAAAGCGAAATAAATAAGCCCAAAGTAAAAGAACACTTTCTGAGGCCATGTCATTGGGGAGTAGCAAAAGGCAATCATCAAAACAAATGCCGTGATGATAAGAATAATCAGGGTTTTAATAAGAGAGATAAAGACAATCTGCAGCAAAGTAAAATTTGGTATTATGAAGTCTCGGATGAGCCCGGAGCTCGTAGGAGATCTATCACGTACAACGACTAGTGAAAGAGTAAACAATGATTCTACCGCGAGCGCCCAGCGCCTATAACTTGATCATATTATAGTACCTTGAGAAAAAAATAAAGGTATATAAATAAATGTGGTGATGACATGGTCTGAAGTATATAGTACTATATAGAAGTAAGATAAAGAGATTAACCATGACAACACTAGAGCAGGGTATTACTAGGTGAGGGTAGCTGTCGTCAGTGTGTTCCACCCCGATTAAATAACGATAGTCGAGATACAATGGAGCTAGTCAGATCCCTAATACAGGGTAGCTATATGTCCATAAAAAATAGAGGGAGAGAAGAGGCGAGAAGAGAGGATAGAGAAAAGAAACAGAAAATAGAATGGAGAATGGAATAGAAACTAGAAAGAGAAAAAAAGGATTGAAAGTAGAATCAGAAAGCAGAGTACATAATAGTCAAGAAGATAGAATATAATAGAATAGAAAGTAGAAAATAGAAACAGAAAACAAAAACAGATAATAAAAACAGATAACAAAAAATAGAGATGGAAAAAAATAAAATAGAAAAAAAAAAGAAAATGAAATAGGAAATAGAATAGGAAAAGGAATAAAATAGAAAACAGAATAGAAAATAGTAAGAGAAAAGATAATAGAGAAGAGAGTAGAAAATAAAAAGAGAAAACAGAATAGAAAGTAGAATCAGAAGATAGAATCAGACAACAGAATGGAAAATAGTAAAGAGAATAGAAAGAGAATATAGAATGAGACTATAGAAGCAGAAAGTAGAAACAGAAAAGAGAAACAGGGAATAGAAACAGAAAGAAGAAACAGAAAAGTTGAGAGGGAATATAGAATCAGAAAATAGGAAGAGAATATAGGAAGGGAAAATAGAAACAGAAAACAGAAATGGAATATAGAATAGAATAGAATAGAAAACAGAATAGAAAATAGAAGCAGAAAATAGAAAGAGAATATTGACTTAAAAAACAGAAAAGGAAATAAAAACAGAACAGTGAAAGAAAAAGTGGATAGAAAACATAGGAAGAGAAGACAAAATAGATATGGAAACAGAAAAGAAAAAGAGAGAACAGAATAAGGAAATAAAAAGAGAATACAGAAAGAGTCAACAGAAACAGAATACAGGAAGAGAATAGATAACAGAAAATAGAGTAGGATATAGCTGTACTTAAAAATAATATAATTAATCTTAATATACTTTGTCTATATAAGTGTATTAGAATGAAAGAACGAATGGATAATGGTACAATTAGAACTAAGAACATAGGTACACCCCAAGGAAGAAAGTACAATAGAAAGTAGAATCAGAAAGCAGAATAGAAAATAGAATAGAAAATAGAAAGGGAATATAGAAACAGATAGTAGCCACAGAAAAGAGAAGCAGAAAATTGGAAGAAAATATGGAAACAGAATAGAAAACAGAACAGAAAATAGACATTGGAAATAAAGAGAAAACAGGAGGAGTCAATGGATTGAGAATATAGAAAGAGAGAACAGAATATAAAATAGAAGAGAATAGGAAGTAGAGTAAAAAAAATGGAGCAGAATACAAAATAAAACAAAACTATATACAGACAACTAATACAGAGAATAAAACAGATACTAAAACAGATGCCAAAGCAGATACTGAAAAACATACTAAAAAAGATCTAAAACACACCTAGAAGCATCAGGGTGAAGCGACGCCTGCGGAGATACTGCCATGGACCAAAAATCCACACATTCTGGATGGTAGCAGGCTGAGACCTGTGATGCCGTTGTCTCGAGCCTATGCAGCCTAAGCCGAGTCCCTCCAAGACTTTTTTTTGGTGCTTCTGTTACTCTCACTATTAATCTCACTATTACTCTCACTATTACTCTCACTATTACTCTCACTATTACTCTCACTATTACTCTCACTATTACTCTCACTATTACTCTCACTATTACTCTCACTATTACTCTCACTATTACTCTCACTATTACTCTCACTATTACTCTCACTATTACTCTCACTATTACTCTCACTATTACTCTCACTAGATTGCAACACACAATTCGAGAACCATCGCGCCCAAATGTTGTACACGAAAGTTGGGGAGAATGGTGGGCTCTTGCTGTATGTGAGCCCCTGAAGATCTCTCAAGAATTTTCTCTCTTGCCCCTTTGCTTCCACGTTTGTGTATTAGATTTCTTCCATGCAAAATACCAGAGTAAAGGAATCCTGTCTGAAACCAGCCCCGGTGTCCTCCAAACATCCATACTAATTCCCAACAGCCCCGGGCCAGGTGCAGGAGCCCAGCCCATCGCCAGTGTCACGTGGTATCCGCCACGTAGGCATCCCTCACGTGGCAAGAGAAAAAAACTTCCGTACAGGGAAAGCTTCAACATTGCGTTTGCGATCTTTCTATTGCCATCTCAAACAGTTTTCCAAGCGCACCACCAGACACTGTCAATTCTCAGATCACCGCTGCGGAACGCCACTCATCAACCGACACACTCACCGCCTCGGAAGCGGAAGCGGACCCTATGCGTCCCCCTGTCTCACATAACGTCGATGATATACCCCATCTCACGCGCAGACTACAAGCGCTTGAGAACCAGGCACAACTACAGCCTACACTCGCCATTGACCCGATGATGATCACGGATCTTACCAACCGGGTCGAACGTCTCGCGTCTGACGTTGCCCTCTCCACCGCTAACGCGACCAAGATTACAGAAATCGAAGATCTCATCAAGGCACTATCAACAGAACCGACAGTATCACCTGTATCCTCCGACACAATGGACGCCATGTGCACACAACTCGCGCACCTAGAGAACCTCATTGACAGCCACGCTCGTGATTACACACAAATACAAGAGTTGTTAA